CAGTTTTTGTAAACAAGATGCAAATGAGAGTTTTGCTTCCCTGTCCAATGGTCTGTAACCGGTCAGTTGGCATTTCCTTTCACTACTACTACTACTACTACCACCAATGATAATAGGAACAATAAAGTTCCTCTATGAAGTACAGTGTTTCAGATGACAGGATCGGTGGGGGTTGGTGTGCGCCACACTTTTGGTGCTCAAACTTGTATCGCAGAGGGACACGAAGGTACCTGTTATTGAATGAGGATGGTGTTCACCGGTGATTTCCGGAACAAGAAAGGGCTAGTTTGAATCTGGATCCATAAGACGATTGAAGTGTAAGAAACATCATTTGGGGCATTTTGTTGTATATTCTAAGGGGAATTAGGTGAACTAACTAACTGAAACCAACGATCCGACTGCTTTTTCTGTGTTCAGCACAGCGATCAAGTGTGATCGGCATACCGACATTTGTGTTGATCACTGCGGTACGTCGTTAGGCTCCGTACTGCGCTCTGTGTAGTTTTTGGTGAGCGCATTGGGCATCAACAAACGAGTCGAAGTCGATCGAAGAGCTCTCGAATGCGCAGTGCGAGCTGTTGACCGGGTCCTGGTTCTTCTGGTCACACGGCAACTGAAGCAACCTTAAAGCAGAACACCTATCAATTTTCTGAGTCACGAATTTGGGGTAACACAACGAGTGTCATGCGGACTTTTTAGGTTGTTGTGTAAGCGCATACCCGAATTCCGTGTATAGAAGGCGCTTACCCAGTAATTCTGGCTGGAGCTGGATCGTGGTCAGTTTCTTTTCGCGTAGGTGTATGCGCGCACGCACGCACGCATGCACACCAGCCTGTTATCGGCTGACTTAGGAGTGTACTGAAATCTTTTACTGTCCTTTTGGGAAACTGTGCATGTGTGGGCGTTTCTGTCACCGATCGATAGACTGGCAAATAGCTGGATTTTTGTTCTTGTGTGGTTTTACTTGTTTGACCAAACGGCCAAGTTTCACCTAAATCTGGGGACTTTTTTCGTTTGCTTCGAACCCCTCCTCTGAAAGAATCTGCTCTGTGGCCCTCAGTGTCAGAAATAGTTATTTATCGGTTTGATTCCAGCGCGAAAACAACTGTAATGTAGATTGTTTCAAATGCAGTGCAGTTCTAGCTACAGATGGGAATAATGTACGCCTTCAAGGCCGATAATCTATCAACTGATACTGCGCCTCCTAGGGACTATGGGACCGTGACATATGAAATCATTGACTGTATGCTAGCGAAACAGGTCATACAAGGTAGTGCTAAAGTATCATAGTAAAGAAACCAAAGACCGTAGAACAATATCGCGGGTCATCTATATATAGTGTATATATATATGGTTATACAGTATACTATATAGTATAGTATACTATAGTACATGTACTCATAGTTGATGTACTTATTCTCCTTTCTTTGGGGACCTGTGTTGCTCGTTTGAATTGTACTGGGACACGTAGTACACTCCGCCAAATTTTGTTAGACAGTTCCTAATAGGTTCGTACTACCCCCAAGGTCCTTTTAAGGTCACAGTTTCTTCGCGTATATCGTGTATGATGTACATCGTGTATCTGGTGTCAAGTACCCATGCACAAGGTTAGATGGTGTTAATGCGAGACTCAAATATGACTCAACTGAACCTTTTGGATGCATTTACAGGAAACAATCGGTCGGTTTTACTTATTGACCGAAATATATCAAGTGCGCGCTCCCGAAGAAACTTGCCGTGCGCTAATTTAGCCGGGCCGTCTGAAGAAACCCTGATCATATAGCTTAGGACTGTTGAACCGCTTTGGGAGAACCCGGCCTACTGACGCATATCTCAACTCCAAACATGTTCACGTCCGAAGCTGTGATAAATCAGGCACAATTTCCCCATACGATGACTCTCGTCGTAATGGCTCTCCAATACGACCTCATCGCTGCCCATGGCAGTCGCTTGCCTCAAGCTGTTTGTCACCCGAATGCACGCCCTCCCTCTGATACAACCGGATCCATTTATTTCATCGAGGCTATCCTGGAGTTGTAGTGCTGTACATCCCGAATTCACTGGCTAAAATGAAACCATTCTGGATGACTAGTGTTTGAGCTATCGCACTTCTGAGTATTTGCACTATGGGGTTACCAGGCTCTCTACAAACTGAAAACACTATTAACCACTAGCGATGCTGATTCGAGATAACGGTTTTCGGAAAATGGATAGAGCTTTCCACTTAAGGCGAGCTTACGTTCGATTACCCCATCAGCAACGCTGCATTGTTTTAGACAATACTCCAATTTAGGACAGTCATCGAATTCGAACAAACGAAGAGTGACCGTTCTCAAGTGCCGCAGAGCTAGTCGGATGGTGAACCAATCACGAGCAGACACATTCGAATATTCAATGGAGCATACAGCAATCAGCGAACAACAGTATTTGTGATCTAAATAAGACCCATGTTTTCGCATCAACAGACTGAGATTCCCACGGAGTGAAGGGTGTCATTTTTTGTGAGTGGAACTCATGCATGCTTTCGCATAACTGACAGAAGTTGCCAGTACAAGAGGAGTGTTTAACGGTCTCTTACCCAAACTTCATGCAGTTGTTTAACTAAGCTCCTTGTGGGTGCTTGGACAATGTAACGCCTATAGGTGCCCACCATCGATCGTGTTCCTTAGTCTGCAAACCGTGAGAGATCATGACACTTTCCAATAATCGGGCCTGTTCCATCCGATTTCTTACACTTTCGAACTGAACCACGCTGCTTTTGAAATTCCGGGACAGTTAGTTCACCTATGGCCAGCTTAATACTTGAACTGTGCATGCCTTTAAGGCGTGTCCTTCCTGATTTCTCTCGCCGGGATTCTCGGCCGGGTACAGGTGGGCAGCTCAGCAACTGTTTTAGGGCACAGTTTTCCGGTATTCTTCTCAAGATCGACGTTTTTTTAACCTCTGTTAACCTTTGCCAAAACCAAACGGTTGAACCATTCACTCCGACAACTGTCATATAGACTGATGACTGCTGTTCATGGTCTTTCAGTAGATTTCCAACCTTCCTGATCACGTGTGAACATGTGAGGATAGCTAATTGGCCACGTGTGACTGACACTGCCACTGATTAATGTTGAATAGCGTGTGAAGAGCACCACCGTTGAACTGATGATGAATTACATCTGATCAGGGACACTTCAACGCACACGTGATGCCTAAGTCGCACACACTCATGTGCATGACCTTGCGACCAGTCGTGACCTACTGGTCTAGAATGATCAGGAGTAGCGTTCAGTTTACACTGTACCTGAACCTGTGCAAGCCCTGCTTTTGCAAACTTAGGTCAAATGTCGCCAAGTAGGATCTTTTCTGGAATGTCAATAACAGCTTCAGAACCATCTACCGAAGTTGTTTCCGGATTGGAGATTTGCACTGTAAACCTTGAGCTAGCTATGCAAAAAGGTTGATATTTTTCAACGCTACGCGTTCCCGAAATCACTTGGGAGATGGCACTTCCTGACCCATAGACAGTTTACCCTTTCTTGAGAAACACTCGTATGTCTAGACTGACCAGTACTGAGAGATGTGTTTCTTGAGAACGGATGAGTTAATGTGATCGCCTTATCATCCCTAATTTCGCACAAAGAAAGGTTGGCTTTAGCACTTGTTTGCGTGCTCTGTTGAGTGATTACTGATGACAATCTGTTATTTAGATTCCGGAGGCTTAATGATGTCTTGTTAAAAACCCAAAAATAGTAATAGGAAGTTCAATGTACTTGAGGTCCTTCCTCGATTCAGCTGACTTTTTTGTAAGAGAACAAGGGTTGAGATTCCTAGCGGAATATCTCAAATTTTCACCTTTTCTATATCCACATACCCACCGTTTTCCCACTGATAGCCTTCTGATGTTCCACCATTGTGAAGATGTGTTTTTTCCTGGCAACATAAGGTCCCAAAGTTTTTGTCGGTGATGTTCTTTTGTTTTGCATTGCGAAAAAGTCCCTTCTGGGAACATGATTTTCATTTTTTTGTTTGCTTCACCATTATTCAATATGAACTGAGTGGTAGTTGCCAAACCGACCACCCGCATCGTTCTAATTCCGTATCACTCCACTCATTATGTAGACCGCGATTGGGTACGCGTCCCCTGACTTCGTCAATAGCCTGAAAGAAACTTGAATACTGAACAAGACGTAGTGATCGCGATATCTTCAGTCAGTGTTTTCACCGTTACAAGGAATAGTTCAGTCAATTCCATCCATGGGTCACTGGTCCCCGAATAGTGACTTATCAGGGGCGAGATGGACCAAGTGGTTAGAGCGCAAATTTGCTGACCGGAAGGTCCGTGGTTCGAACCCGACCTCTGCCACTCGACTTCCCCTGTCTAGGTTTGGGCAACCTGGCAGTATCCCAGCCCTCATACCTTCTTCGTGTGGCGTGGCAACTAGACACGAAAAGGGTGCTACAGCTGGACGATTTTTTTAGTGACTTATCACCGTATTTTTGCGCGTACGTTTGAAAAATATTACCGAAACTACCGACCATTCTGGACTGAATCCTCAAACAGTACAGTGTTCTGGTACCTAAATGGCACCAAACAACAGTTCGTGTCGGATCTTTCCACATATTCTACTGGAAGTAGTATGAATGAATCGTATATGCTACCAAGCACATGTGCTGTTTTAATGTACCCGATTAAAGTTAGAGGTCAGCTCATTTTTTTGTCCTACCGACATTTGTACCTCCAAATTAACCAAGTAAACCACAACTACAAGGCTTTAAAGAAATGCAACAACGGCCTCAACTCTTCCGACCCATGAATTCGATTCGAACTCCAACTGATTGGTGTTCAGGCAATCATTCAAGTGACTCGCGTATCCCAGCAATTACTTTCGTATCTCCGTTCTTCGGTCCTCTTCATGTAAATGATTTTTTTGCACTCTTTCGAACGCGTTTGCTTCTGTCTTGCTGATAACTAAGCCTCTTCTCTCTATTACGTACCCTTTTCCTAAAAACAGTGATCGAGACAAGGCCGATCTCTACTGGAAGCGGTATTTGTCAATGGATAACAGCGCAATTGTGGGTAAGTGCCCGCGGTTACGATGGTTTGAATGTGTTAGGGATAAGTCACTTCATCTATAAGTTGATTTTGCTGGTAACCGTTTTCCAACTGTTTTCCTGGACATTCTGGGAAACTTATACAGACGGGCTGATCATGAGTGTTGGTTGGTTTTACAAGACACAAGCACATTTCACTGGCAGTTGAGTAATCTTTCGCGGCAATGTGTAGCGGTTCTCCTTGAGAGAGCGACCCTCATGCTGGAGTACGCTTTCCTTAGTTTACTGTTGAGTCCTATACCCAGAAGGATAATGGACGCGAGGATACTAAACAAAAACTCCAGCCATACAAGTAGTGCTTGCTGTGGATTGTTTTAGTCATCTTCATCCAACATGACCAGTATCGTCTGGTAGTTTACCAGGTTCCGGCAACCCAGTACCGACTGACATTGAGTTCCACTCAGGCCTGCGTTGTAGTGCTCATAACAGTCCTCGCTCTCGGGAGAAAAACGGTTGAATAAATCACACGCCACTGCCGAATGGACACTTTCAGTCCCAAACTTGTTGTGTTGTCTGCTAACTTCATCCCCGCGCAATCTGTCTTAATTTATGTGCTGATTCCGATCACCAAACCCAAGGTGGAATACCCACCAACGATATCTGTTTAGTGAAATACATCAGTGGCATCTGTGAGACGGTTTCTGAAGTGTCGTACGTTGCGTGTTCACAGAAATTTACACTTGCAGTGAACAACTATGGGCACGGAAAAATCGCTGGTGCAGGTAAGGTTGTGTGACCCCACCGGGAATTCACATTGCAAAGACAAAGGGTGTTATTCGCACTCACTTTTTGGTTGATGGAACAAATAAAACAAAGAAAATTCAAGAATGACTGATCATTAAGAAAGACGATCCTGTATATATTGGTATGTTTCCAGCTTCAAGGTCACGAAGAGAGAGGGCTCCCGAATCAGAGGACAATTTGGGTCAGTCCCCTGGATTTCCTCGCTAACCTTGAACCGCTGTGCACTGTAAGCGCATATATTCATATATATNTATACAGTACAAGACAACACTCCTCGGGTCATCGGGTGATCTAGAAACGTCTGCTGCAATGCCAGGACATGGTGGTTATTACCTTTAGAATGAGTCTTCGTTTAGCCCGAAGCAAGCTGCAGAAGACACGGTTGCAAGGCGATCGTCTGGACGTCCAGAAGACACGGTTGCAAGGCGATCGTTTTTCTGGACGTCCCAGATTCGAGAGACATTTAACTTCACTAAATTTGGTCTAACTTATTCCTAGGCTTCTAGGACTGTGGCTGAACACAACAATCTAGGGCAAAGTAATCCGACTAGAGCGTCTATGCCGAGGTTAATTAGGTTAATTGGGAAGTCTTGGAGACATTAAACTGTCCTATTATTTTGTAATTCTGATAGCAGCTGGCCTGTTTTTTTTTAAAATAGACTGCTAATTTCCATCAGTCTGAGATAAATTGTTTTTTCCCTATTTTCAGTCCAAAATACCATGAAATACGTCACCATTAGGTTGTCTGCCCTATTTTCCCGCGTGATGATCCATCAGGGTATTAGCTACTTCAACGTCCGATGCATCTACGCTCATGTGTTTCTGTGGCCTGGCTAATAGGGTCAAAAGCTAATGTAGCCTACAGCTGTGTGCACCATCCATCTGCGACAACCGCCATGCACTTAGCAGTCAAATGACAGCCACCTGGCCTAGGCAGACGGGATGCGCCCAACCGTGTGCCGGCCTAATCGAAATTGAGTGAGCACGAACAGTATAGATGCGAAAATATCTCGAGCGCTGTGTGAAGAATGGAAGGGATGTGGAAAGGATTTGCACTGTGCACCCCGGGCTGAGAAAGACATGAAATTTGGACCAATCTGAATTCGCAGAATGCTTTCGTTGTATCTGGACAAGGATTGATATGGTTGAAGACAGTGGAGAAAGCAGATTGGTACAAGTAGTGGTTAAAATAGGATTAAAGAACAAAACACATTCTAAAAGGATCATTGATCCCGTGTGATATCTCTTATCCTGTTAGGTGTCAAAGGTGAAAATATATCAATGTGGCCGTTATTCAGCACGAAGCCGGATGTAAGGCACGAAGACAAAATACATGTGATAGATGCATCGTTCAGAGTAAGCAGGCTAACAACGGAGGTTGCATGTCACAGAGGATCGAGCGGTGTTTGGAATTAGCGTAAAATGGGGATAATGGGATTGAGTGAGTCTGTAATAGCATTTCTCATTAGAAGACCTTCCCTCGAGTTAGTAACACGGTTTGATGAGCTTGTGTTTCTCAGTATGATGGAAGTTATCTTTAGTTCTTCAAACTCTTATGGTCACTAAGCTTTGTCCTTCCCTGGACAGTTTGAACCGTTAAAGCAAGCCATACTTGGATTCATTTTTGGAATTACATCCACTGATATCTTCACTTTAGAGATAGTTACGACATCAGAGAATGACCTCTCTGCAATTAATATGTAGATGGCATTACCGAAATACCAAAACACGGATCGGAGTCTTCACAACCCCAACTATCGTCTACACAGTGGATTCGGAGAAGATTAGATTGGATAATTCGGAAGCCTCATCACAAGCCCCTCTCGGGAGAATACTTACACTCCAAGAATTTCGTACTACCGACTAGCTGTAACTTATGGGCGGACACTCGTGTTCGAGTTATTTGGACTAGGCCACTAAATCTGTTCCGTCAATACGTCTTCAAGGTAATTTCTCTCTAGGCATATATATGAATGCCCTACTGCAAGCTGGTATCCCGAAGCTTTCGTTAAGAGGTACTTGTCACCTTCAACTTTTAAATTCTGTGAAAAGAAGAAAGTTTACAATCAGCTAACATTCGAAAATGACGACATCAAAATTCGCACCCACCGTCGTCTAAGGGGTTTCTGTATGCCTAGCAGAACTCCTTTCGTCCAGCCCAATGCTGGATCAGGGGTCTCTGTATGCCTAGCAGAACTCTTTTCGTCCAGCCCAATTCTGGATGGAAGCGGCCGAGAGGTGAACAGTGTATATCCTTGGAACGAACTATGAAAAGACTGACTAGTAAACTCGCTCTGGTCGACGACTGTCGCCGCTCCTATAGAGGACGCCGGGACTCAACTCACCAATGTCTACTGACAATGGTAGACATGCCTTAATCACGCAGTTTGGCTACTGCCTTCAGTGCGTAGCTGTTTAGTTTCCGGGAACAACCGATCACGTTATTGCCTCCAAGCCTTGGCTGCACCCCGTCTCCCATTTCCCGGTGACCGGAACTGTAGTAGGTGGAACCAGTGTATCTTTGGTACACGGATAAATTTAATCGGAGTGTGGTAAAACCTACCTTTTCCACAACCGTCGCAGTGTATTTGACAGGAGCGACATACGACCACCAAATCCGCCTGTCAAGGATAAAATCCCAACTCTGTCTACCACTCGTCGTATATACAGTTGAGTGCATGCGAGGATGTACGTAGGTAGACAGAACAGAACATCAGCTGTTCTTACGCTTAGTGAATCATCCGTCGGGATGACCTTTCAGGTCAGCTAATAAAGCTGTCAGGTCGTCCAGTACAAAACATATTTTGGATACGCATTGGTTGATCGAACCAGACGAATTCCACGTAGTCAGGCGTTAGAACACCACAAATCAATCGTTAAGGAGATTGTCAGACATGACCCAGTCGCGCCCTCAGTGGTGCTCGTACATCCAAGCTACTGCCTTCAATGTGTAGCTCCCCTCTCAATTTTCCCAAATAAAAGTCCATTGGCATCCCTGTATTTACTCATCAGTTATATCAGCTACCGCCTCCAATGCGCAGCAACCTGCCCTGCCTCCCCAAATCACCGGTGAACGAAACTGTGGCAGCTAGAGCCACTGTACAAGTGGGCGGTTCTTACAGCTGTTGATGATGATGTGTAACGGGAAATCTCCGTTGTCAGTCTCCTTACGCTACTCGTTAGACCTACCAGGTATTGATTTTCTTCTCACGTCTTAAATCCGGTCCGCGCTGACTAAGGGCTAAACTGATGGGTTTTTTTTACCTCTGGTATGCAATAGGATGACAGCACCTAGTCAAGTAGGATGTCATGAAATCACAAACTCATTGATCCTGTCAGAATGTGTTTTCTTCTTCACGGGCGTCCTAAATCTGTTCTCCAGAATCCGTGTTTCACCATTTGACATTTAGGGGATTTTGAATGGAGCCGACCTATTTTGCTGATCCTTTCCGGTATACTGTAAATAGCGATCAGGGCGAAACATTTATGGTTTGATGACAAACGCAGCTGACCAATTCTTAGGCCGATCCACTTACACACAGAAGGTGGTTCGACAGTTGCTTGGCATGGGATGTTGGGGTCGAAATCTAGAACGGTGCTGGGAAAATAGATGGGTCGCAGATGTATGCAGACCACCAGGCTATGGTTATTTTGGTATCGACCAGTATCGACACTTCTTTTTTTAAATGAGGCACCTGGGTCGGAAATTTTGTTGGTCTGTGTGAGAACGGTGACTTGTTCAAACGGATGGACTCTACTCGTAAATCTTCAACTACCTTTAAATGTCCGGAAACCGCGGATTCCAGTTTAGACTCTGATTTCCGAAAAGTACCAGTTATATATCCATCGTCTCTAGGATGCATTCCGTACACGCCTCAAGCAAAAGTTAGCTCGCTTCAACATTTTTCATTCATTTTTAACATACAGATGAAAATTACCCTGTTACCTCTATCGTGTTAACAATTCATCTCAGGTAAACTATCCGTTTCAGCTCATGGTGCTCATGTTCGAAATTCATTCTTCAAATGCACTTGGTAAACCATATTGATCTTTCGTAATTCACCTGTGCAGTTTGTTACCTGTCAATATCAAGTTTACTTCTGAAAATAGCGCACGTGATGACTCACCGTTCATTGGGATTTTTTCTCCGTCCTTTTTAAAGTTTGCTGCTCCAACTCATCATCAACATCATCACCATCATCTTCATTATCAGCATCATTA